AGTTGAACCTCAAGTGTTCAAGCGACGAGTTGCGGTTGACAGTTTGAACGAGTTCCTCCCATACAATCTTGACAAAACAGTTGATTGCCTGTCTACTTAGTGATTGAACTGGTATAACATCAAGCAGTTGACGTTGAAAAGTGAAACCTGCGGGAGATCAGGAAGAAAAAAATTTTCTATCCATAGCAAAGGGAGAATAGATGCAGGGCAAGACCTGTGCAGCACCTCAAGTACATCTGAACCGCAAACCACGCCAAGACGGACAACGGAATTACTAGCTTCCTAATTTAATAAAACACATGCGCGCAGCGCAGCCCTTCCACACCAGTACGAGAATATTAATATGCCAAAGAAACCCGCCCAAAATATAAGCAAAACAAGAAAGCGACGCTTCATCGAGCAAGAAAGATAATAGTGTTTGTTTTTTGAGAGAGTTTGATGCTATAACAAATTCGAATACGAGAAAGAAAAAGAAAACGAAAGCAAAAAAAGGCAAAAAAAGAAGAAATTCCTAGCGCGATAACATATTCCAATTTTTTCTTTGCTTTTGCGGGCCACTTTCCCCTAGCACCACCCTGCAGCACCGACGCCTCCCAAACCCGAATAAGAGAAAGAAAAAGTAGCCAAAGGAGAAGTAGACTATTGTTGCAAGACCGCGTCAAAGACCAAAAAGTCCTTTTTTGGGTTTTTTTACGATAACGGAGGGGTATGCGCGGTAAAGGTAGGAAAGGGGGTTTTGCGTGCAATAAGGGATAGGGGTGGAGGAGTTCCAGGTGGAACGGTTAGGAAGGGTTGCTGAAGTAAGCGAACTAGCAAGGGCCGAGGAGGGAGATGTGGGCGTGTTCAATGTGGTACTAAAAATGGGAAACGGTGATGTGAGTTTTTACTTTCGATATGCAAGCGGTGAGCGACCAACAAACAGAAAAAGATCCTCACCTTGAGCCCATTAAGGTTCTTGTACCGTTTCCCACAATCTGGCACAGTGCACTGATATGGCTTGTGAATAATGTTGTTCATCTCTGGGTCGCCGGTATCCTCGCAGTGTCCGTGCTGCATGTGGTATTTGAGCCCGCCGGGGTTTTTGTACGCTTTTGTGCACCCGGCCACTTGGCACTTGTAAGGACGGTCATCGCGAGACGACGAAGAGTTGCCGTCGTCCATGATCACCATGCCGTCGGGGCCGATTGTCGCTGCACCCACTGCTATCGCCGCCGCCGCGTCAAAGGGAAGCTCGGAAAGGTTTGGAATAGTTGTGGGAACGTTGAGGAGAGGAAGGGTGGGGCTGGCGGGTGATTGTGATGACGCGTTGGAGAGGAGATTGGTGATGGAAGGGGGTTGGGGTGGCGCGGGTGTTGGAGCGACAGGTGCCTGTTGTGGGGACGACGCAGGGGCTGCGTCCTCCATGTCCACATCACCCGACACTGGAGTTGGTCCATCGAAACTGAACGGAATGGTTTGATGTTGCTCTTGTATGCCCATCGATTTGACCTTCTTGACGCGAGTGGCGGTCGGGTTGTGCGGGTATCGTTTCCGTTGAACAACGGACGTGTCGAAAGCCGAAGCTGCCGAACCCGACTTGTGTGTTATTCGGTAGTCATCCGAGTAGATATCAGCGAGGTTGACGGCTTGGGGTTGATTTGACGAGAGTGATTGAAGTTGGGATTTAAGGAAAATGTCGTTGAAGTTTGCTGGAGCCGATGGCGAGTTGTCATCGCTCATGTCGGCATCTTCATCCATGCTTTCGAACTCGAAAGGCAAGTCCTCGTCGTCTTCGATGTCTGATTCGATGCGAACATGGCATTCCTCAAAATGTTGGAGAAGTTCGTGAAGGTTCTCCAAATTTGTGCCACAACAAGAAAAGTCTTTGCAGAACTTGTCCTCAAGACCGGCAAAGTGGGCAAGATCGCGGGAGGGGGATAGAATCAATGGTGAACGGGAACCGAGCTGGAAGTTGTAGGAGCTGAATAGTGGAAGGAGGACGGGAACGAGTTTGGATACCGAATTAGTTCAGAACAACCATGGCTCCAGCACCAGTACCAACAGCACGTTTGCTGGAGGATAGCCTGACGTCGACCGGGTTTCCTCCTCCTCAGGGACTCTTTCCCACCTCTTCCCACAAACTTCCTCCCACGCACTTTTTGCCAAACACACAAAAACAAGGCAAGGGAAAGACACTTACTCAAGGTGGGAAAAGCTATTCTTTCCAAAACTTCCCATACTTCGTCCAAAGCTGTGAGCACCAAAGCTCTGACCAATACTCTTTGACAGACTACCGATGATAGCCAGTCGTCTTCGATAACTCGCCGAGTCCATGGCTCCGGACGCATAGCGAGGTGACGGTTGTGGTTGCATGGACATGGGGACCGACATGTCCACGGCAGCAGGCATTTTGTTGAGAGAGTCGAATTTGAACAGGTTGGAAGATGCGTGCGGGGGTGAGAACGGGGAAAGATGGAGATTGCGACGGACAGATTGGGTGGTTTTGTAATGGCAGAATGTCGCGTCAGGAGGGGTGGGCGCGTGGAAGAGGCGTGGGAGAGAGGCTTTTAGACTGTGGTGCAGTCACTTTTTAGAGTGGGACAGTGAGGGAAGCGCGGAGGTGGTGAAAGCACCAAGTGTGGGAAGTGTTCGCCAGCGGTAGTCGGAGAGAGAGGAACGGCGAAAGGAAGGGGTAGATGTGGGGTGGGTTGAATTGCGACTCTCTACTACAGATTGCACTAGAGATGACTTGAGGGAGACGTAAACTGTAAATATGGGGCAAGGGGGGTTGGGGAGAGTTGGTAAGTATAAATAGGAATCGATGGATCGGGGGGAGTAATCTATTCTTGGACTCTCAGTGGACTTTCGGCTCCAACTCCAAAACAAACTCGCCGAGGGCCGGGAGGCGGTGATTTAATCAGAGAGCGCCCCCCATATGAGCGGATTTCACACGTCTCGCTCCAACGCAACGCAAACAAATACCCTTCGAAGACACCCGTCGCGCACGTATACGTAAACACCTTTTCCGATACCACTCCGTCGGTGAACTTACATGTTGGGCACGCGGTACTTGCGGACAACGCTTCGATACACGCACGTAAATTAAAATGTTGGAGCGGAGGTCGGTAGTGGGGAGAAAATGGAGGGGGAAGCGAGGGGGGAGGAATGATCAAGACCAAAGGAGATATATACGACAGGCCCAAGCAGCAGCAGCAGCAAACACGCCAGTGGGATGGATTGGAGGGGGGAAACAAGCGCGACGCTTGATGCTCTTATGCAGGCAGGAATTCGCAGGAACTGGGATTGACAACAAGCAAGACTTCCCCCCCAACCTACGCTCCGTCACACAACCGTCACACAGTCCATCGCGGACCTTGTCTGGCTGAGTCGATTACACATGTCTTGTTTGACAGCAGAACCAGAGAACCCCTGATTGTGTTCGATTCCAAACTTTCGGATCCATCGCAAAAAATTGGTGAACACTGCAAATTTTTTTCTTGTGGGCCGGATGATCCCGCCGACCCCCGACAACCCCAATCACACAACCGCCCAGTTCAGACAGCCCTTCTGTTTTTTTTTTCTTTTTGTGGCGGGGGACCGTCGCGGTCGTATGGACGTTTGCTCGTTCCTAGTGGCGGTAAACTTGGCTCTCAATCCGGTAGTAAGGTTGATGTGCTGCTTGCCTGGACTTGGTAACTTCTCCGGCTGTTCCCCAAACAAACCGCCCACCCCCGTCGTCGTCGGCGTCCGACGGTGGTGGTGGTGTCAAAGAGAGGATTGTCTTCCTCCACCTCCTTCCACGCCAGTGTCGTTACGACGACGCATCCATGACGATCCCCCCTTCCTCCTGCTTTCCTTCCCCCGCGAACGAAAGTCTTCCTCACCTTGACGTGCTGGACCTGTCAAAATTCACCATTTACGACAACGCGACAATCCGTGTTCGCGTTTCAGAAAGTGGACTCCCGGTCCGGCAATATTCGGCCGTAACGGGAGGCGCAGTAGGAAAAAATACACAAAAAAACATACCAAAAAATTTGAATTTTGTAAAACTAACATGGTCCAAATTCCCCCGCAACGTCCGCCTCGTCCGCCCTGTCCGCCCTTTGTTGTTTGTTGTTTACGGCCGTTCCTCTCGCGCGTCTAACTGTCCGTCAGAAACCATACTGCACTTTCGTTCCTCGGAGAAAGACAAGGTCATTTGACTCGAAACCGTTTCAACGGCTTCGCCATGCTGCTGTTGTTGCTGCTGCGGAAACCGCCTGCGGAGGCGAGCGAGGCACAGCTCGCTTCACAGAAGTACTCTGAAACAACACACAATTCTTATGGCTGTAAGCATCTGCCGCTCGAAGACGCCCAAAGAGTAAAAATAATATCCCTTCGTTCAGAAGGGCTGGCGGCGGATCTCAATGAGTGTGCATGGTCCGGGAATCGAACCCGGGTCTGCCGCGAACTGCTGTCGAAGAAGACCTCCGACAGTTGGCAGGCGGCAATTCTGCCACTGGACCAACCATGCTATGGAAAATGCCGGATTGGTTACGATACATGAGCCGTAACGCTAACAGATCCGCAACGCCGGCGAATGCTCAAAACAAACATGCTGGACAACGGAAAACTTTGTCATTTGTGATGAAATGCGAGTGGAACTGATGAACGTGCGGTCAGAGATGAAAGAAAACTCAAAGATACCCACGCGTGGCGCAAGCCTACTGCGCCATCTCCGGTTGGGTATCCGGTTATCCGCGAGGCGTCGCGCCTTGACGTCGCGTCTGAGAAAGCCAAATTTTCTCCCAAGAAAGATAAACCCCGTCGAAGAGTACATATACATCAACATGATCGCAGAGGAATCTGTGAATACGGGTGACATACGTTCCGTCCATGCACCGGACACCACCAACACCACCCTATTGAAGAATGCATTCATTGCCGCAAGTGGTGGAGCGGGGCAAAAAAAACGATTGAGAGGTTCAAACACAAAAAATGAGGCAAAAAAGAGGAAGCGTTTGACCGATCCGTTAGACGAGTGCATGGTCCGGGAATCGAACCCGGGTCTGCCGCGAACTGCTGTCGAAGAAGACCTCCAACAGTTGGCAGGCGGCAATTCTGCCACTGGACCAACCATGCGATGAAGACTGGTCACGGTGGGTGAACATAACTACCTCACCCAGTCTGAGCACACGGGCGGATGATACTATTCTTTCTCAGGGACCAGTCCCCTAACCATTTTCAAAAGGACACAAGTTTTCAGCTAACAGTCGAACTTTTCAAATCTACAAGCCCAATAAATCCCACACGCCCTCTACGCACACGGCGGAATCACCCCACTCGTTTCCCCCACAGGCACCGTCCCATGATCCCGGTCAACCGCCTCCCTCGCCCTCGCATACTCAATAAACCCGCCGAACCTCCGTACCGCCAACCACCGGTACCCACAGCCCCACTTGAACCTTATCGTCAGGTCCGCCTCATACTCTGCGGTTCCGGCGAAAAACGCGTGGCACTGCGCGTCGGTGAGCGGTGGAAAGGGTGTTAGTAGGGCGGGGACAAGGATGTGGCGTTCGTATTCGACTTTTAGGGGGGTGAGGAGGTAGGTGAGGAAAGTTTGGAGGAAGTTCAGGAGGTGCAACATTGTAGTTTTGGAAATGGGGGTGTTGGAGGGGGGTGGTGCGCGTTTTATACGAAGACGATTGAAAATTGACGCGTGGTCAAATCGCTTGTCGAAGAGTTGAAATCAGCGCGTCGCGTCCAGAACTTTCAAATATCATCAACGTCCGTCCGTTCCATCTTGGTGGTTACGATTGATTATATTCCAAAAATGAAAGTACTCGTACCGTTGGAGTTCGCGTCAATACTGTTCCAACGCAAAAACAGAGACTACGAAACCTGTCCATCAACCTTCAACCTCAAAGGACGCACGGAAGGGACCTCAAGGGACGCGTGAGCGTTTGTTTGTTGTCCATGTGGCTGGCTGATGAATGTTGCGCCAGTCACGGGCGGTTATCAACAAACCCCCCCAGCATTCGCATTCGCATTCGCATTGCTTCAACCCTTCAACGCAACTCAATTGGATAGGGCATATCTTCCCCTTGCTGCTAAAGAAAAGTTATAAATGGCGTCGTATAGGTCGTTAAGGGAACACGAGGTATGTTTGGTTGCACGGTCTAGCGGGGTGCATTGGCGCGGGTCGTGGTTTCACCCAAGCCAGGCGAAGGCGAAGCTTATCTTTTGTTGTACCTGTATTGCAGGAAGAAGACTTGCTGGGAAATGTGTTTGGGGATAATGCGGTGAGAGGACGTCCCGTCAATCGGCTGCTGTGAAGCTGTGAGGCTTCCGGCCGCACCCCCGGCTTTGTCCGTGACGAGGAAACTCATCTGTGAATGGTATCCCTTCATGAACTGGTTCTAGGAAGACGAATACGATCCCAACCTTCCATGGCGCGAACGCATCAAATCCTGGTGGGAAGCAAACGTAGGCGTCGGGGACCGGACTCGCCACATTGTTTCCGCCGTGCTCGCAACCATCATAGTCCTAGTCTTTGTCATTATTGTCCGGTCCGGGTCAGACAGCGGCCCTGCCCCAGTCCCCTCCGAACCTATCGCATCCAATTGGACGGATGTTCGGTTACCTCACTGGATTAAACCCACTCGTTACGACCTTGATTTACACGTTGACGTTGAAGGTGCCACGTTTGAGGGCACGGTCCAGATTTCCTTGCAAATCCTCAACACCACCTCCTTCGTGGCTTTCCATTCCGTCGGATTAACAGTCCACTCCGCGGCACTCATCAACGGCCCGACCCCATCCCGCAACGAAACAAGGGAAGATACCCAATACACCCTCCTATGGTTCGACACCCCGCTCCGCGGCCGCACAAACCACACCCTCAAACTCTCCTTCAACGGAACCTTATCCAACGGCCTGAGCGGATTCTACCGCAGTACCTACAAAGGCGGAAAAAACGACCAGGAAACAAAGTATATTGCCACGACGCAGTTTGAACCTACCGACGCCCGGCGCGCGTTCCCGTGCTTGGACGAACCGGGGATGAAATCCGTGTTTCAGATTAATATGACGGTGCCATGGCGGTACCATGCTTTGAGCAATATGCCGTATACGGATGTGAAGGATGCTGCGGGGTCTAAACGGTTTGTGTTTGAGGAGACAAAGGAGATGTCGACGTACCTTGTTGCGTACATCGTTTCAGAGTATGTGTTCCCTCGCGTTGGGTGAGGTATTGGACGCAAGAATGTTGGGGTTAATGATTGCGCTATGCAGGTTTGAATCCGTGAAAGGCAAAACGGATCGTGGAGTGAACGTGGCGGTTTACACGCAACCTGGGAAAACCGATTTGGGTCGCTTTGGTGGGTCTTCCTTGTTGTGGCTTTGCCGGCACTATTGGCGAGATGTTCGCAGGGAAATTCTAACCCCACAAAACGTCACTTTGTTACAATAGCGTTGACCACAGCTATCGACGTCCTGGAGTTTTACGAGAAAACGTACGGCATCGCGTACCCCTTGCCCAAGGTATGCCTCTCTCCTTCGGTATCCTGCATGAAATGACCAACTCTGAGACCCACCCCATCCAGGGCGACCTGATCGCCATTCCCGACTTTGCCGGTGCGACCCCTTTACCACCCATTCATTATAGTTTTTCTCTGACTCTAATCTCTCATTCTTCCAGCCGGAGCAATGGAGAACTGGGGTCTAGTAACCTACCGCGACACGGCTCTCCTTGTTGACAACGCCACGTCATCCGCTAAAGAAAAGCAACGGGTTGCTGAGGTTATTGCGCATGAGTTGGCACATCAGTGGTTTGGAAGTAAGTGATTCTGTTTTCTTTGGCGGAAGCTGATGGTGGAGATACTGATTTATGATTGATCGTTGTCTTGTTGGATGGTGTAGATCTTGTCACTATGGTGGGTAGTGTTGCTTTTGAAAGACGGAATTGACACGCGTTATTGACCCAAAGTTTATCATTATAGAAATGGTGGGACGATCTTTGGCTCAACGAAGGTTTTGCAGAGTTCATGGAATACAAGTATGGGCACATTGTCTTCTTATTTGCAGGCCCTTTGCCGGTGATCAGATCTAATCGGCTTTTGATTTTCGGGTACTCCTACCCCAGAGGCGCACAAGCGGCCCACCCCACATGGCGTATTGAAGACCAATTCGTGACATTCGACCTTCTCAGAGCGCTTGACGCCGATGCGTCTCGGTACACGCACCCCATCGCAGCGACAGTCCACAACCCAGAGGAAATTCGTGAGATTTTTGATGACATTTCTTATGCGAAGGGGTCATCTGTCATCAGGTACGGCGTCCGTTTTCCCATCCGCATTTAACGATCCGGCCATCGCATCTTAACTCGTTATGGACCATTTTCAAAGAATGCTCGAATCCTACTTGACAACGTCCGTATCCCCGAAATTCTTTTTCGACCGCATCCACGCTTACCTCTCCTCCCACGCCTACTCCAACGCCGAAACCAAACAACTCTGGGCCGCATTCGACACGGACGGTATGAGCGTCGGATCCATCATGTCCACCTGGACCGATCAACCGGGTTACCCCATCATCACGGTGGAAGACACCGGGAACGGACGCGTCAGTTTGAAGCAGGAGCGGTTTTATTTGTCGCCTGGCAACGCGACGGTAGATGAAGCGCAGACGTGGCAAGTCCCGTTCACGTACGCTGTTTATGACCGGTCGGGGAGTGCTGGCAAGGCGCAGACCGTGGTGTTGAAGGAGGGTGGACCAGTGACGATCAAGACTGGGGGTGGTGCAAAGGGTGTGGTGTTGGGGAATGTTGGACGAACTGGAGTGTATCGGGTCAAGTACCCCGAGGAGACGTACCAGGAGGTTGCAAAGTGGTTGGAGGAGGACAAGAAGGCGCTGTCTCCTGTTGACTTGGCTGGGCTGTTAAAGTAAGTGGCCTATCTAACCGATGCAAATCCTACCGACATCACCTAATCTCCCTTTCCCCCACTCAGTGACGCTCTAGCCCTAACCCTCTCCTCCCACCTC